TCTGCGAGTTCTGCGAGTTCTGTGATAAGTTGCGTGGACCAATATTGTGTCTATGAGAACTATAATACATTGTTAGGTCAACCATAACTTACGTAGTTGGAAAAATGATAAAAATGTGGTTGGCTCCTAAAATAACTATAAATTATAGCGAGATTGTGGTGACTGCAACCATTTTTTTTTCTGTCAGTGAAGAAATTAATAAATATATATTTCGAAGTTCATTTTTCCCGCGGTGCTCCTTCGCGTGGAGCGAAGAGTTGGAGATCACTTTACGAAATGAAATCAACTTGCCGATAAATACTGCAATTTTTATGTCGATCGAGCGCCGATGGATATTTTTATTTGACTTTTTCATTTAATTTGTGCGAATCGTTACTCGCGGAACGAGAAGAAATATTTGCGTAAAAAGCGTTGAAAATGTATATACGAAGTCGGTCTAATTACTAATCATAATATGTACTTACAAATGTAATTTCTTCCACGAGGACTTCCTGTGGAAGTTTCCTGTTTAATAAATTACGTATTTACTTACTTCCAAAGTTATGACGTAATATTTATTCTTAATAAAGCGCGTGCATTAGCGATACGAAAACGGTGTTGCTTAAATTATAAATCATGAAAATTGCAAGTAAATTACTTCAGATATTGCGGACACCTTATTCCAGGAGAGAAATAGGTTTCGTTTGAAAAGATCGGCAAGTTTTGTCAGAAGTTCGCGTATAGTTGTAATGACGCGCGCTTTGGTTCTACGCTTACTGCGCGCCGTTATTATAATAACCATAATTATTGAAGTTGCGTTATTAAAATGAGTTACAACAAAGAGGTCAAGAGAGAAGCGTCCCCGGGGGGAAAATCCCCTCGCCGAGTTTGTTACAAAAGGCTGAAGGCGCAGGAGCGTGCAACGAAGGGAGGGTATTGTCTGTTATCAACAAATGCCCGGGCTAATGCAAAATATGCGCGTTAGAGCGTAAAAAAGTGCAAAGATTACATCTAAAAATATGTCACGGTGATGTAAATGTAATAATATAAGTTTGAGTTTTCGGAGTTCACGTCGTTCAGTTGCCTGACAATAATAATTGAGTTCAGTTCAAATCTTTCGTAATAATCGATACGGAACGATACACGTGTAGGTACACGTGTGTGTTTAATAAAATTAAACTTTTTCCTTCTCTCGGAGTTTTACCGAAACCCCTGAGAAAGTCTGCGATCTTTCTTTCATTTTACAGCTCTCAGACTCGTGAAATATGGATATTACACGCAGTAATCTGTGTAAAGGTGGAATTCAATTGTATCGCGAAAAATTCCAACTCGTTCGCACATGAAAGAACCCGCGTCGGTGCTTCGAGAAGCAAATCGCGAGGTGCAACGATGCGTCGAAGGTAATGGTACTTTCTTTCGAAGCACACCGCGTTGTGCATTCGCAGTGCGTCTCTTTCTCTCTGTCTCCCCCCCCCCCTCTCTCTCTCTCTCTCACTGCCGAGAGAGCGCAGATGCCACGGGTGGAAGAGCGACGCACGGCGCATGCAGCTTCGTTCTACACGAGGGACTCCGTGACTACACGCTTTCCCCCGTAACTAACAGGTGGAAGCCGCTTGGAACGCGCAGCTTTCCTCGAGATTAGCAGGTGGAAGATGCCCGCGGCTGTGTCGCAGATGATTCAGAAACAAGACCGGCGAAAAGAGGCGGGAGTAGCAAGAAAAGAGACGGGGGCAGATGGACGATACGTGAGCTGCTTTTGTTCCAACTAGTTCCAGAATTATGGAATGGCACCGGAGTCCCGTTGCACGCGAGCGAACAACGCGTTTCCGCGGTATGAAGAAAGAAAAAATCCCGCTACAACGGTTGTCCGCGCGGTATACATATTTCTCTCTCTCTCTCTTTTTTTTTTAATGGGTCAGGTCGCCTAGAAGAATGACAAGTATCGCGTTTGTTAAGACGATAAAAAAAACCTCGCATCTGTCAGCCCGGTTTTTTGTTAATTATCTGGAGAACAATGACTAGAGGAAGAATAATTGCCGAGTATTATAATATTCTAACGGACTCTGATCAATTTGACGCACGTGTGTAAGTGACAATATTAGAGCATCTTCTCGGTGCACGTTTCACTAATTGTAAGCAGATATTTGACTAATTGTAAGATATGAATTCAATAATGAATACGTGCACAGAGGAAAGTCCCCTGTTATGGGACTATTATAGGTTTCTATTAAATTAACGAGCATCATCTATTGGTTCCACCATGAATGCTCTTGTAGTGAAGTCTGTTTAGTGAAAAATCCGTGGATCGTGTAATTGTTACGAAAAAGGATTTGCAATTGAATTTGGACGTTGAAAACTAACCCGCTATCTCACATTAGACGCCTATCACCTACTAGGGGACTTCCTTTCTAAATATTAGCCATTCTTTTATGTCGATTTCATCAAACAGGATGCACATAAAACTTTTTCGCGATGTGGAAGGACACAGTGGTCCTTTTGTGCAGTGGACATATATTATCCTTGCCGTTTCTCTCGCGTGCTATACATATTTCGGTGTATCGATCTGGCAGAATTAGACCACGCGGAATAGAACGACACGTTCGCTGTCGATGATATCGTTTTCTCGCGCAATCGTACGAAGGGACTCGCTGCTTCCGCGCGCGTAGAAATTTCTGTGCAACATCGCGAAGGAATCGCCGAGGAAAAATAGCCGAGTTGCGAGTCTATTACTCCCAGGCATGTAAATGCGCTAGTATTCTGCGTGTATTCTGTTTGAGTATACGTGAAATCGTAGCAAGTAGACTGTATTATTGACGGTTTATTGCCCCGATCGACCGACGGACCGGCGATGGTACCACGGGGCACAAAGCAGCGCATCGGCATACACGCGCCGGCCGATCGACGAAAATATACGAAATAATTTATTCGCCGTGCGCAATTATTTCTCTATCCTTGGCCGGTGCTATCGCGCCGCCGTTTATTATTTTATGAGGAACTAGATCCGACATCGTGCCAAAGTCAAAGAAAGTTCCCGTGTACTTTATGGAAGTCTTCTTCGGATCACATTTGCATGAAATTTTGATGGAAAAAACTATGCGCGGCATATACAGAAATTGCACGAGGCAGAATATCGCTGTGGCATTCTCATTTATTATACTTTGCTTATTATTATCTATATTTCCTCTTGTTTGCGAGGATCTTGAAAAATCTTATTGTCTCCGCCGCGAGGTCCTTTGTGACATTTAAACGAATTGAATACGGATTGGTCGCGTTTTATTAATTTTTCGACCGCCTCAATTATGCTAAGCGGTAGAAATGTAGGTGTAATGAAACGATATTGTGAAACAATTGAATTTAGAAATGGAATAAACGGAATAGCTTCAGCATTATTACGAAAATCATAAAGATACTCATCAGGATGTAAAGAGAGATTATAATGAGCAGGTATCTGCGCGTTTAAGTGCAAGCTGTGTGCCAGCGTATAGTTAAACGATAACTGTACATTGTGCGTAGGGAACATTTATCTACTATTCATCGCATAATACAGTAGAAAGCATCTCATAAGGATTAAAGCAGCTGCCACTTTCACGAAACAGCCATGGAACCGTTTAATGTTTAATGATCCTAAATACATTCCTTTTAAACCTCTTGTCAGGTAATTATAATGTATATGAAGCGAAATAAAATAGCAGTTGTTATAAAATTATTAAATTTACGGCCGTTAACGATGTTCATTAAAAAATTATCACGTTGCCCTACTTACCTAAAGTATAAAAATGTGGCGGGCAGGAAAAGCTTTGTTTGATAAATGCGTTTTACGCAAACTCAAATGGCAAATAACTTTTCAGATTTCAGGCAGCCATTAAAAATCATTTCGGTAATTTGCCGAGGAACAATCGACTCTATTTCCCTATAATGATTATTTTCTTTAACGGCTATTTGAATAATTAAAACCAATTTGCCATTTTGTCCTCCTCCATTTCCATTGGATCCTATTGTCCCTCGACAAAACACCATGCATGATGGAGATCGCGTTATTACCTTATGCGATATCTGTAATATTTAAAAATAACACGTCCTAATATTGATCCGCGAAGGGAAATAATGTCGCGCTGCCAAGAGTTAACACGGCGACGCGAGACTTCCGATTAAGCATTTCCAGGACGTATTTTCGATACATGCCGGCTGCTTGCCTCCTCATCCGCGAGAATCGCTTAGATGCAAACTGACTGCTTGAGTTAGTCCGACTGCAACATCTAGTCTGAATATTTCATAAGGAGAGACTGGTCGATTTCCGTGCTTGCGGCAAGCGCGGTCACCTCGCTACGAAAATCGTTAGCCCGTGAGTATAAATAACGGTGGCGCGCGCGATTTCATTCGTACGGGTATTTGTGTGAACCCGGCACGAACGGAAAGCAGTATTTGTCTTTTTCTTTTCAAAGAAAAGTAATGTACTTTCTTAACTGCCACACTTTAACGCTGTCGTTAAAGGCAGAACGTAATTAATGTAATATTAAATACCACAATGTTTTAAAAATATGAAAATTAAACAAGCGACTGGACCCTCGAGACTAAAAATAAAATGGGATTTGGGCTGTGAGAGCCAAACGCGGTAATTAGCGCGTGTTAATCTAATTGTTCAAATACAATCAAGAATTGTAACGCACTAATAACCGCGTTTTACTCTCACAGCCTAAATCCTATTTTACAACATTTTAAATAACATCAACGTATATTACACACACAGAAAGTACGCGTGTGCGAGCGAGACTTTCTAGGTGTGTTTAAAATTTATAACTTTAACCCCAATAATACTGTGACTAATTCGAGATCAGTTCCATTTCACCAAAATACAATCTCACGAGGAGTCGTGATTCGTTAGAGTTTTTAATAATTATTGTGAGTCTTTTTGCAATTAAATCAGAGCACGAACTTTCCCAAACGATAAAACCCAAATTTAAATAAACAGGAATTTCCTTTCTCATTTGCAAGTAAAAACGATATCTAATAAGACGAGCCAATTTTTGACGACGAAGGTAACTTTTACATTAATTAACAAACACTATGTGCTGTTAAATATAGAAGAAGAGTTGTTCTCGGACACCCTATATGATAGCATGTGCGCTCTGATTATATCTCATTAGATCGTAGGAAATTACACATCGGCGACGATGAATCAGCGATCATGCGATTATTCGGCGACGACTGCAGATCGCAAATAATTTATTGTGAGCAATAGCTCGAACAGAACAATCGCTAAAAATTGCCGACTTCCATGCCTATTTTATCCTCGAGATAGAACAGCGTAATATCTCGTATAACATACTTACTAAAATTAACATGATACATAAATTAGTCTGCTAACGAGGCATTAGTAATTCCAGATGCGGTTCTCTAGAAACGCGCGTAACAAAATAAGTTGTGTATCCGTGAATTATTACACCGTCAAGTACGGTATTCAAACTATATTATACACGTTATATTTTGATGCACGTGTAGTGTGACAAATATTCCATTGAAATTATACGTTTCGGTTTGTGAGCTCACGTTAAAGGGGAAATAGATATTATTATTGGCACAATAAACGTATCTATGTGGTATTGTAAAAATTACGTTCATAAGTGAAATATTCTTCATGGTCGGTTTACAAATTATGTGACTAAAAACACCAGAATCTATTAACTTTTCATAATATTCCTGTATTTTTAATGAAACCAAAGGGAAAAAAAAGGCAAATTTTGTGTAAAAACTCGTGAAAATTTAGGCAAATCTACCAAGAAATAAGTAAAATTCGCATTGATTTTTATCGGTGCGGGACCGACGTAGCGATTGCGCGCGACGCGTTTTGCACGCCGGATGTGCGGAAAACGCGACGAGCCCCTCGACTCCGACTCCGCGGCGCGGCGCGTTCCCAGAGCGAGCGCGATTTGAAATCTCTCGACGGCTATCGACCCTGCCGCGACTCTCGATGTATCGAGACTATCGAGGCGACGCGGCGCCTGCGCAAACGAATTCCCGCGATTCGTCGGCTCTCGCCGAAGGGCTGTCGTCTGCTAGACACATGCTGGAAATTGGCGGGCCGCAGCTGACGACGTCAGGCGCTTTAATCGTGTAAATAAATTGTACATAAGCGCAAAACCTGCCGAGCGAAAATCGTGGCTCGACGGCGCGAGCGATTTCTGTGATGCCGAAGCGGCATTTTTGTTGAATTGTTAATATTGTACGGAAAATGTACAGAAGCCCCGTGTAAATAAGGTTATATTTTACACTTGATTGTGTGAAAGCAGACTGTGTGGCTCAGTAAGAACTTGGAGTATATCTTGGTAGGTAAATTTCTCCTCGGCTTGTCAACGCTACGTGCAGAGGAGAAAAGAATTTCCTTGCGCGTGTGCGTGAGATTCAATACTAAGCAGCTTATAATCAATTCTAACGGTTAATTGGCTGATTGAGTTAATTAACTCCATTTGACATTACTTTATCCCCATCTGAGCGTCCTGTTACCTTTCTAGATTATGCCTTTAACTTGGGTACAAAGCCGTAATGGAATTAAATGCTATTCGACCGAACGCGAATCTACCTTATTTCTTTCATCTCTCTCCTTTAAGAAACATGGAGCACGAAGACAGCGATTGCGATCTGGACATCCTGAATAATCTCATATCAAATGACACCGAGGAGGCCGAGCGATCCAAGCAGCTCGGAGGACCCCAGCCGCCCGAACAGCCCGAGCCGAGAAAGACTCTGACGGAGCTGCAGTTCAGCTTCCTAGACTCGACGCCTAGTAACGTGGGCAACGAGAGTAAACCAGCCGGCGAGAAAGCCAGCGAGATTTACGACGACAAGCTCGACTCCTCCGACGACGAGGACAGGCGCTACTTCGAGGAGCAAAAGTACTCGGATTATGGGCGGGAGATGAAACGGTTGCTGAAGGAGCGCTCTCCGCCCAAGTCGGAGCAGCCTGCGAAGTTGCGGAGCGAAAAGACTGTTAGTCTCAACGGTAGCAAGAGTAAGACGTTCGACTTCAACAACGCCGCAAAGGGTAGCGGCAACAGCACGGCGAGAGACGTGTACAGCGACCCCTTCTTTGGGATAAGAATCGTCAATCCCCTGGTGTCCTCCGCCGAGTTGAGAGAACGTATGAAAGATAAGGCAGCCGTAACGGTGTCGAGAGTGAAGAGCCACGTTATTTCCGACAATGTGCACAACGACTGGGTGATCGCCGGCGTGCTGATCAACAAGTCGGCCACGAAGACCTCGCAGAAGGGCAGCTCTTACTGCATCTGGAAGATGAGCGACCTGTCCGACGACCTGAAGACCGTGTCGATCTTCTTGTTCAGCAACGCCTACAAACAACTGTGGAAGACCGTTGTCGGCAGCGTGATCGGTATTCTCAATCCGAACGTGCTCGAGAGCAAGGACAACGTCGACCAGGCGACGCTGTCGATCGACAATCCCCAGAGGCTGATGGTCCTCGGCAGGTCCAAGGACATGGGCAAGTGCAGGTCGACCAAGAGGAACGGCGACCCGTGCACCGCGGTCGTGAACGCGAGTCGATGCGAGTACTGCGTCTACCACGTAAAGCAGGAGTACAAGAAGTGTGCGCGCCGGCCGGACGTGCAGTCGAGCAACACCAGCTACGGGTTCACCGGGGACGCGATAAAACGCATGAACAGGCAGACCGCCGCGCGGCCGCCTCGCAACGGATTGGCGTCGTTCGCGCCGGTGCTGGCCAGACGCAACGAGGAGCTGTACGAGAAGGACCGTGCGCGTTTGGAATTACTGTCCGAGGCCGCTTCCGACACCGGTAACAAAAGAGGGAAAACTGACTCGGGCTGCGAGCCGAGCAACGTGAGCGCTGGGAAGAAAGCGATAGCCATCGAGCTGACGAACAAGCAGTCGAGGAAGGATTTCGAGCGACTCGGCAAACTGAGGAACTGGCAGTCCTCGAAGCAGCTCATGGTACAATCGACGCCTGCTGGGCCGATTTTGTGTCCCAGCCCAGCGCGATTGAAAGAGAGTAATCCCGCGCCGGGCAAACCTACGAGCGGTCGCACAGGCGAGATCAGTTTGGCCTCTCCGGCTTCGCGCCCGCGACTGGGAGCGGGATGTAATCGGGACACGATAGACTTCTCCGAGCCGATCACCAAACAGCACATTCGCAACGCCAAGATGAACGCGATCAAGTGGGTGCAGGCGCACGGAGGGATCCAAGCGAAGAACCCCAATCAGGTCCGCGCGAGCCCGAGGGAAAGGGTGGAGAAGACCGCGAAGCGGCAGAGGGAAAGCGACGAGAGGGAGGAGCGGAGCGCGAAAAAGGCCGACGTGAACGGGAGATTCAAGGAGATGCTGGAGGCAAGGTCCTCGCACGCGGATCTGATCGAGAGATCGTACGACGAGGCGAAGGAGAGGTACTTCGACAAGCTGGAGGCGAAGGAGAGGATGGAGGAGAAGATGATCAACACCTTCAAAGTCGACTGCAAAGCCGTCAAGTGCGCGGTGTGCAAGTACACGGCGTTCTCGGCGTCGGACATGTGCAAGGAGCAGAGACACCCGTTGCGCGTCATCGACGCCGTTAAGAGATTCTTCAAGTGCGCCGATTGCGGCAACCGAACAGTCAGCCTGAACCGCATGCCGACGCGCAGCTGCGCCAAGTGCAGCGGCTCGAGCTGGGTCAGGGCGGCGATGATGGACGAGAGGAAGACCGCTATCGCCGCGGAGACCCTGTCCATACGCGGCGCCGAGGAAAAGTTCCTGGGCTCGGTGGCGAGAGACGCCAACCTCGATCTGCTCGTCCCGGAGGATTGACAAGACCAGTCAGGTTGCTGGCAACATATTTTGTCAAATGCACGCTGTAAATGTCTATGGAAGATAGAAAGAAAAAGACAGTCGATTAGAATGCAAATTGGTGCCACGTTTGTGCGCAGTACGAAGTATTATATTTATACAAAATAAATGCAAATGATGCCGAGTTGTGCTACCGTTGCCTGTGAATCAGTTTGAAAAGTATTATTTTTAATCTGAAGAAGCTAGAACTTTGACAATTGGTAGAACTTGCCGTCTGAATTAATGTCCGACCTCTTAAATTGCCGTCGGCTAAATAAGGAGACGTGAATTTTGCTAACCGCGACTGATACTTACTCCTATATTTTATATCGTAGAATCTACAAATGCAGAACATTCGATATCCTTTTGTTTATTGTCAGTATTATCAGTTTTTCTTTTCTTCATTTTTTTTCACCTTATGAAATGTACAAATATAAAGAAATCCTAAGAGTGTACCTCTTGCACATTTCCGAAATGAAATACATCGAATTTCTCTCTCCGTCCGAAATGTACACAGCGAGCAGAAACGTTTTGATATACAGCCAGGTACAACAATCGTATAAAAAACACCATGCCGTCTCGACTACGTTCTTCATTAAATTACGTTCGTTTGGGATTTACGTTTAGGCTGAGGTAAGTCATCGCCGTCCTCCTGTTTTCTCGTGGCGAGAAAAGCACTCCTCCTTCCCCTCTTTACAAGCGAGATACGAACTGTCTAAATGAAGGTGGACATCAGTAAGTTTCTAAATATGAAGAACTGTGATTGGGGTCCGGAAGCATTGCGTTGACATAAACCACCGCGAGTCAAGCTATTTGTACAGCAACACGTGAATTGCGGGAATCAAGAGCGATTTTCCACGAGGTGTTGTATGCCAGTGTAACAGTTCCGGACTCTAATAACCATCTGTTTGTATGAGAAACATAGATTGTATTTTTTTTTTCACTCATGTACTGTTTAATATCCTATGGTTGTCCAGTTCTATTCGGCATTTCATATTACGATGACATGTCACTCTCTTCCTTTCATATAAAATTTCGAATAAAATACGCGTGAGAAAAGGAAGATTGGAAATAATGGTTATTCGACAAACCTCAAAGTGTTGTGTGCGAGAGTGCTAAATTATTGTTATCCCAAATCTCATCTCACGGGACGCGGTGCGACAACACCGATTTGTCGTAGCCCTCGCATACTTTTGTACATGCATAATCAATTTTCGGGCCGAAAAATCACTAAACCGATGAAGTGAGCCGTGCAAAATATATGCATACGTATGAGAATCGATAGTTGACATCAATCAACAAGTCTATGTCGCGCTATAAAAAGATTAACGTTGTTTTTCGAAAGAATCATTTCTGCCATTCCGTATTAATGCATGGTACGTGTATATACATATGTGGAATGTTTCATTATTTCAATCTCCCTCTTTGTCACCTGACAAAGCATAGATCTCGCAGAAAATGAGCAGCAGTACCATCGATAATCTCTTTTCCGATCCTTAGCTATGATCCATGTATACTTGTAATTCAGCAAAAAAAGAAAAACAAATTTCATTTTAGAACAGCACGTGTGATACACATATACGAAAAACGTGAAGCATTACAATAAAATTGTACTCTGGAAAATCGGCCGGGATAAAATTTTCACAACGATTACGCTCTCGTATTGCCTTTCCTGTCGGATACAAAATGTAACGAGGTGTTAAGGAAACAATTGGTTTTCGATTAAAAGACACATTCCACTGGCAAAAAGTATGTGGGGAGTAAAATAATCAATGACGAACATGTTAGCGGATTATACAACTATGCTTATAGAGATCATAGGCAAGCCATAATCTAAATACGTCATCGATCCGGTTATTAAAGCAACTCGCGTGGACGACATTTCCGTGTATCTTTACCTTAAAACAAAGATTACAAGGCTTTCCCTACTCTCTTCCTTTCTCTCGTTCTCATTCTCTCTCATTTTCTCTCTCTCTCTCTCTCACACACATACACACGCACACTTTCGCTCATTGATATTTATTGATTTCTTAATTTACCTATCTTGCGTACTTAAATCGGATGTTCCGCTAAGCAGAAACGTAGTCGCACCGATGTATAGAAATAAATAACTATCTAGACTCCTATAGTGAGATGTTTACATATAAAAATTTGAAGAAACGTTAAGCCGGCAATTAACATCTGGGTATCTTGAGAGACAATACACAGATACAAATACTTCGAACCATCACGTTCTGGAATTCGTTGTGCACATATCGCAAAATCGGATCTCTCTCGAACGTTTCACTTTGATGAAGTTCTCTTGTACGCCTGTTTTTTGTCTCTGCAAGGTGTACATTACAACAATATCGCAAATAATGTAGATACATTATTAAATAACGATACACCATTTTCGTCGAGTAAATCTCACAGCATTCGAGACTCTTTGAGAAACTCTTTGCTCTCTATACAGTATTCTTTCATAAAGGATACTTCACCAAAATTGCACGTTACATTCTTTTCACATTTATACATACATAGCGTCGTTTATTACAGAGGCATACGAATAAGCGAATTAAATTAACAATGTTAAAATAAATTTCGTAATATCTTCAGTAACCGTTTAAATATTGCGGGGAATATCTTTCTCTTCACTGAGGTGCACCACTATAACAATGAAAAATTACTTCGATACTTTTGCGAAGCGTTTTCTTATGTACAATTGTGTGAATGTACAAAAATCTAAGAGCCAAGAGCCAGCAACGGAGCAATGTAGGATTGCGAGGAATTATCTGTCCTTACGTTTACAAATGTGTATCACTGCATAAGACGGAAATACTTCATTTACTCCGTGGATCGTGTACGCGACCTCAACTTATGTCTAAGGCAACTGTGCCGTTTCTTTTTTTTCTTTTAAAAATTGACATCTATTTACAGAACTCTTCTCCGTATGAATTTTGCAAATATCGGTGTAGAATGCACGATACGCAATTGTATGTTCATAATAATCAGTTTATTACAGCTCTTTCATGATTGTGTCTGAACAAAATAGCGCTACAGCCGCTCTTGTAGTTCAAATACTCATTTCTCGTAAAATCTATGATAAGATGACAAACATCAATTTAATATAAAATTACGATCGAACCACCATACACTGTACATTTGTATTTGGAACTGTAGAGCGCGTAGTGTAATTGTTTAAAGGAAATCTCTGTGAATAATTAAGAACCATAAATTGTAATACAAGGTGGTGAATGTATGAGAGTAGGCAGGTATCAAGCTGGCTTAATTAAGTGTCACAGTCTTCGAATCGCCTTTCCTTTTATAGACATGGTTTACATCAGCCGCGCCATATTTGCTGGTGCTCTTCTCTTTCGTGTATCGATTTGCTTGATGCTTGGTAAAACTCTAGACAATAATTTTATGACGATATCGTACGTGCTGTATTGTAAATTTTGAAACATGTTTTCTTTATTCTGCTTTCTTCTCTCTTGGGACATCGTATGAGAAAGAACACACTCATGTCCCTCCTGCTTTCTCCAAAGCTAAGAGAACCAAATGTCGATTGAGTCACGGACTTAGTAGTCATCCAAATCAAAGCTATCGGTTTCGATGTCGTCCAGCTGCATACTTTGAAAGTCCACTTTGTACCGCAAGATACCTGTAAGATATGCATTTCAAGTCACACGGAAGAAAGCGGCAACTATTGCTTAAGTTTTCTTTGCTAAAAGAAATTAAATTGTTTTATATGAAGTTATGTTATTGAATGTTGATAGTCAAAAAACAAAAGTAAGTACGGAGCAATAATACGTAATGAAATATAAGCAAATTTTTATACAAATAAATTATTAAAATTGCCCAATTTTTATGTTTACGGTACTGCTGTGCTGCTAAATTATAAAATCAAAGTGACATTTTATGACAGCGCTTTCTTAAAGTAGGAGATGTAATTTTATATATTGTAGTTTACAATATACATGTAGTAAAACATTAGAACACACATATAAAACTTGAATAAAGCGTAGTGAAAAACTATTATACAACGAAAGCACTGTTCGAAAGAAACATATTACGATTAGTTGAACATTTCATCAATTAATTTTGAAATTGTCACGTGAAAACAATACGAATTAATATAAATATTTTAGTAATTAGGACGATCATACACAATAAGAAAAATATATAAAGTGTACGAATAAAAATTATAATATTATAAAGGATTAATTAAATAAGACCATGTAAATGCATACGTATACAAAAAGGTATATCAATACTTGTGATGAAAATTATGAATGATTAAATATATCGATTGTTTAATCATTGCTGTATAAATTAGTAGAGAACATGTACTGTACCTTTCCCAATATGCAAGCTAATAAAAATAAGATACCGATTAGTACTCGAGGAGTATTAAATGTTTGTATCTATCTTAAGCAATTGCTATGTGAAAGCGTAAATACTCATAGATATCATAATTGCTTGATACTTGTGTTCATTATCAGAGATAACACCTCTCATAGTATTTGTCACAGCCCTCGGCTTGACATCTAATTTTCGATGCAACATTATTATGTAGGAAGGAGAAGTGCCAATGTGAGCCACAAAATGAACGGAGCTCGGTAACATTATTGTTCTCAATTTTTAAGAAGTATATTATCTATGATGATGAACTTGATGTCGCTTATCATTTAACATGCATTATTGGGGTATATTACATCATTATTTCTTATTTTCCATTATAAGCATGGGCATAGCATATAACAGAAAAGAAATATATTGAAAGCTGTAGTAAAATTCAAGATACAACGTGTAACAATGTATGATCTTGTTGATTACTTTCCTGTGTCGCAATATTAATTTTACGATAAACATTTTAATGAGAGTGGTAGTGTCCAAAGACTTCTAAATAGAAAATCGAAACAATTAATTTAACAAGCCTTTTGCGTGTTAAGCAATTATTTCCAGAAGTACAAATTACTCTCCACTCTTTTATTAATAAATCAACAATCTTATGGCATATGTAGAATGATGTGTTAAACTGGAGCAGAGTTCGAATTATTAAATTTCTTCTTGAAATATTATACAGACAAAATGTGGAATTATATTAAAACATACATGCGCTTGCTACTATCTAATATAATTTGTCATTATCTAAATGTATTGCCTATACAACGCCGTATAGAGTAATAATGTGAAATAAATTAAGTAATATACAGATACACAAAATTGATCAAAACTGAAGTTTAAGAAATAGTACCATCACGTTAAATATGCAATGCTAAATTCTACCTGCCAAGGGATAGATTGGAAATATTATGAAGGTTATCATGCAAATATAAAGTATTATATATGTATCGTAGTTGTAGAACCAAAAAAAAACAAATTTGGTAAATTAAAAACTCAGATATACGCACGGTGCGTATTTCAACTCAGCAAAATTTTCACATAACTTGCGAATACATGAGTGGTAATACACTGAATCGAGAGTTATCGGATAGCGTGTGTGTGCGTGTGAAATGTCGTATGTTTAAAAAGTAATTGGTCAGTGAGATGAATATCGATATCTTCAAGGTGGGAGAACATAGACGTAAGTAGTTATATTTTTAGCAATAATGCTGAAACTTGTCACTGTTGCCTAAAAGCTAACATTTCAAAGCGTTATCAGTCAGATTACTTATAACACATTCCTGTGAACACGGCCTTTAAAGTTCGTAACGGATTTTCGTTGTGTACGACGGTACCGTACGAAGATCGAAGATGATATGCGTTAAACGAATAAGAATGTGGCTATACATTTGTGACAATACATGTGGCTATCAAGCAATACTATTTTTCTCCA